GCAGTAATTATTGTAAATGTTGAGTTTTCTGCAGTAATTACACTTCAACTTATAGGTACAATGTTAATGTTCTTCAGCAGTGTTATGTCTAGATTGATATGCTTTCTAGTATTTTAGATCAGACGACCCATTCCAGCATGGACTCAAACGGCTGCTAGGATATCTGATATAATAACTGTAGTTTCCTAATGTCTGTGCAAAAAGGAATTTAGTGTATTCTAAGTTATGATGTCCATTACCTCTGAGTAATTAGGGACCAAATTCTCCTGCCTCTGAACCTTCTTGTGGATCCATAGTTATACCAGTTTTGACGCCTAAGCTTTGATTGATTCAAATACGTTCGTTTTTTATCATTTCGTGGAGCCGTGAGTACATAATTTTCTCTTTGGTGTAGTCCATCCATTTAAATTTAAAACCCTCTAGAGATGTCGAGCATGGTTTTCTTCGCTGCCCTTATCATTTGATAGGTATGGAATTTTTTTCATACCAACTGTGGAAAATCTCGTCGCCTCTGAACAAATTTTGTACAACCTAACGTGTTTTTAAAGTCAAACCATAAAACGGTATCGTTCTACACTAAAATTTCAAATGTTTTTCCTTTACCTTGATCGTTGTCCATTTTGTACCGATCGAGAAATTGTTTGTCTATAAGAAAATAAATTAAAAAGACTTTTATAACAAGACTAAAGATAAATAAAACACTACGTTCTATAGTCTGGTGAAAACAATGTGCTGTAAACAATCGGTATACTGTCGTGTTAGAAAACGATTTGATGATCCGATGCGTGATGATCTTAAAGACAGATAAATAACGCAAAGTACATATTTTATTTTTTTAATTTTTTTTCCTTACGAAAGTTATATGTATATATATTATGAGCTATGTACAAAACAGCGAGGACACGCAGAGCCAGACAACTCCAAAACTAAAATGTTTTGGACAAATCCGTTGATTCCATTAAAAACTACATTAAATTTCCAATAAGATGTGATCAATACTAAATTTGTAAACGTTGGTGAAAAAAGCGTTTTAGTAGCCAGAACTTTAAAAAAGAAATTTTTTTCAAAGTTGAAAAACTTACTAATATTTCCAAACCTAAAGACCAGCAAATTTCAGAAAACATTCTCCCATTTAATATCTTTTTTTAGTGTAATTGCTTTTTAGATTCTATTTGCAAAGGCGAAGAAATTGATGGAGGAAAGGAAAAACCGTGATTGAAGGGTTGGTAAGGTGGAACGATTAATATTAATAACAAATTTAAAAAAACTTAAGGAAATTTTGAATGAATTTATTATAAGTTTTTTAATTTTGATTTCGAAATGCTCTCCACCCTCCGCAATGTGTTTTCGATTAGAATTATTTTCATTAGAAAAAGAAGCCATAGCGTTAACAAGATATTACACAGATAACTGAAAACGTTTTGAATCTTAAAACTCTTTTATTCCGGAGAATAATAATACAATAATATTTAAATCAAAGTTGCAGTCGTGTTGGCAAATAAGTAAACACTTGCACTATTTAGGTTTCGAAGCCAAATTTTAGAAAAAAGTTTAATAAATTCATTCAAAATTTCCTTAAGTTTTTTTTTTTTTAATTTTATATCTTACCAATCTGTCAGCCACGGATTTTTTCTTTCCTCCATCAATTTCTTCACCTTTGAAAAAGTAATTACACCACTAAAAAGGATATTAAATGGAGTACGTTTTCTGAAATTTGCTGGTCTCTAGGTTTGGAAATGGTAGTTTAGAATCACCATAGTAAGTTTTTCAACTTTGAAAACAAATTATTTCTCTCTACTAAAACGCTTATTTCACGAACGTTTACGAGTTTAATATTAATCACATCTTATTGGAAATTTAACGTAGTTTTCGATGGTATCAGCGAATTTGTCCAAAACCTTTTAGTTTTAGAGTTATCATTGTGTATTCGAAGCAAGGTGGTGAAATCTTAAAAAAATCAGAAAAAGTGGAATAAACTCCGAATCTGTTGAGATTTAGACCATAGTTAATCAGGACTTTTTGGTTCCATTTAACATGTAGAATCTACTGACAAAGTTTGGAACACGAGTAGCCGAACATCCTGCATAAAAAAAAGTTAGTAATAATGAAAATGAAGGGCTTTAGTCATGGATTACAATATTTTTATTGTGGATTATAATTTCCGTGGAATAGTTCTTAGGGGTAATAGTTGTTGAAATCATTGATCATTGACCACATTTTATTGCAAGTTTAACATAATTAACAAAATAAATAACAAACATCTCAGGGTTGCAACAATTAATATAATTTGGTTTTACCAAAACGTTTTATTCGCGGGTTTTGTGAGGTACAAAAAATGAAGATGGTCCATTTTTCCTGATAAAAAATTAACCTACTTTGGCTACGTCATTCGGTAATTTATGTATTTCAATATCCTACAATACCGAAGGACATAGCGTTAAAATATTTTTTAGAAACAGAGTTGATATTTATTTTTCACCCCCCCCCCCAAAAAAAAGCGCAAATTTTTAGTAAAATCAAAAATTTATTTTTTATTCGAAAATCATAAAAATAGTGATAACGACTTGAAAAGACTTCACTGATCCCAAGGAAAATTTACAGGGCTTTAAAACTTTATAAACCTAAGTAAAGGCACAAACCTGACCTTTGGAAATAAATCAATACTAGAGATTTTATGATTTCTTCCTTTTCTAACTTATAATAACTTTCCAACTCTTGTAAAAACTTTGTATTGAAACAGAATTCAGGAAAGATATGAATTGTCAACTGGAAGAATAGGCAAAGGAGAAAAAAATTGGACGGATCCAGCCCAAACATTTTTAATTTTTGATTGCTATAAACATTCGCGTTTAAGATCTTTAAAGACAACCATGTAATAAATTGTTTGTTAAACTTAATTGTTTTAAATAAAGTTATTCCGGTGTTTTGATATGTTTTCTTCCTAACCATCATAATTAAATAATTGTTATAAAGACTCATGAATTTTTGATCTCGTTTAATTTGATTTATATTAAAATAAGAATGTTGTAATTATTATAACGACAAAATTATATATACATAGTTTGAAATGAACTACGAAAATATGAGTGTTCTGTTCTGACGGTACTCGACGAAAATGGTGTAATTTTATGCGCAAAACCATGAAATAAATTGTTACTTAAATTTTATGAGCAAAACCGTGTAATAAATTCATTCAAAATTTCCTTCAGTTTTTTATTTATTATTTTCCATCTTACCAATCTGTCAGCCACGGTTTTTTCCTTTCCTCCATCAATTTCTTCAACTTTTAAAAGTAATTAAAAAAAGAAATTATACCATTAAAAAGAATATTAAATGGAGTACGTTTTTTGAAATTTGCTGGTCTCTAGGTTTGGAAATGGTAGTTTAGAATCACCATAGTAAGTTTTTCAACTTTGAAAAAAAATTATTTCTCTCTACTAAAACGCTTATTTCACGAACAAGTTTAATATTAACCCATCTTATTGGAAATTTAACGTAGTTTTCGATGGTATCAGCGAATTTGTCCAAAACCTTTTAGTTTTGGAGTTATCATTGTGTATTTGAAGTAAGGACGTGAAATCTTGAAAAATCAGAAAAAGGATAACTCCGAATCTGTTGAGATTCCGACCATAGTTAATCAGGACTTTTTGGTTCCATTTTAAATGTAGAATCTACTGACAAAGTTTGTAACACGAGTAGCCGAACAACATCCTGTATAAAAAAGTCAATAATAATGAAAATGAAGGTCTTTAGTCATGTGTATTTTTATTGTGGATTATTATTTCCGTGGAATAGTTCTTAGGGGTAATAGTTGTCGAAATCATTGATCGTTGATGTTTGTGTGGTGTTTAGTGACCGTTAGTTAATGATTATTTAGAGATCGTGAGATGCGGTCTGGTGTGACGTAAGTTTTAGAAAAATATTTTCTTTATCGTGCCAACGTTTCGAATTTTAATGAGATCATCGTCAGGGCCTGGGATTTAAAAACATTGTTTAAATTTTACAAATACATGTAGGGTGCGAAAAAAAATAAATTTATACAATGCTAGAAAATTTTAGCTTCATTCAAAATATTTGTACTCACACAAAGTGTTTGTTTTCTGTGAAAAATTTCTAGCATTGCATAAATTCATTTTTGTTGGCTAACGGACACTAAACACCACACATTTCCACACGAGAAGAACGAAGAACATGGGATTCTATGAACAGATTTCAACTACATTTGGACACCAAGCAAAAAGTATTCTGAAGGACATCGCCAACAATGAGAAGAAACATGCATCGGCTATCAATCAGGGAACAGCACAAGGCCCTGAAGATAATCTCAATAAAGATCGAAACGCTGGCACGATAAAGAAAGTTTTTTCTGAAACCTACATCACACCAGACCGCATCTCACGATTTCTGAATAATTATCGATTAACGTCACTAATCACCACACATCGTTGATATTGTTGATCAAACCCCCTATATTCTTGTTATGTATTTCAGTCATTTTTTATAGAACGTAACATTAAACCTCTGACAAATTTTTATAAATGTACTTTAAAATAAAATACGAATTCTCTGTCCTTTTGCTACTAAGAACGTGGTTTTTCACTATGTATACGTTTATTTATGGTGCAATTTATTAAAATCTTTTCGCATCATTTAAATCGTCATGTTCAAATTTAATCGACAAATATTATTAATTTGTCAATCAGATCGGTGTCATAAACAGGTCGTACGCAAATGGACACGTGTAAATAAGCAATTATAAGAGAAAATTCCTCCAGTCGGAAAGGAACGTGTAATTTACCTATTTCTAGTTTCTGACGAAAGACAAGCAGCCATTGCGTCTCCAAAATATTATAATCCCCCCCCCCCAACCGGAGAATAATTTGCAACTGTGACATTGAAACGAATTACGTAATTTTTTTATTTTTTATTTTATTTTTTTTACCATACCCATGTCTATATTACGAGTGACCCGGTGGGATTAATCATTTCTACGATTGCAGCCGACCCTGATGGACGGTGGAAATTACATTAAGGAAGGGCTGGACAACGCCAAGTCTACGTGCCTCTACTTCTCGCCGAGAAAGGAAGACGAAGTTGGAGCTCTTGTGGCATACCTAGAGCTATTTAAGGTAATCAAATCTCTATATCAAGCATGACTATATAAAAAAAAATCTTTTATTTGTTTTTATATTTCAAATTTATTTACTTACTGTCTATATGTATTTACAAGTTATAAACAAGAGTACCAGTAATAATACTTTGCCTCTCGACTTAAATAAATAAAGAATATATAATATTTAACATTTTAAATGTTAGGAAAACTGGACTACAAAAACCAACCCGGAGTATGTTTTGTTTCAAATTTTGGGATCTAAGGAGAATTCGGTACAACTTTCAAAATGTCTGGATTGGACGATTCATAAGCCCAGTATTTAGAGAACCATTATTCATGTTTATTAAGGAAAATCTCAAAATCAATATTAAAATGAGAGCTAATGAGTTGAGCGCTTTTAACCAGTACATTAGAATTATTTCAACCGCTGTAATTTTGAGAAATCTGTAGTTATTAGTCGGACAACGAGATTGTCCTGCTTAAATTAGCTAAAATAGAGTTTCAATTGGTATAAGAATAATATGCAAGTTTCTAAGTAGAGCATGTAGTTGGGTAAAACCCTGGCACCTCCAAAGCACAGAGCATCGATCGCCTTAAAAACTTTGAAGAAATTACGTTCAATATAATAGTTGAGATGATTGTACCAAACCGAATTAATTGCATTATACAAATTCTTTTGAAGTGTTAAGAAATCCTGTGTTTGGGTGTTAAAATCCCAGAGAGTCAAAGTTAATCTGCAAGGACGACAGAGCGCTGGCCAGTATGGCTACGTCTAATGAGGGAGGTCATTAATGAAGAGCAAGAACAAAAAGGGGCTAAGGTCGCAGCCCTGTCTAAAACCCTCATCAAAAAAATATTGGGAAAACCGCGCTTATTAATTTTTTAACAATTCGAACAGGGCAGCTAGCAAATTCACAAATGCAAATGAAAGGTTTGAAATTTTCTTCAGGTGCCTTTTTGACGATTTGTTCCTTATCAAAATTTAAATACAACCTTGCGTTTCTATTTTTCCATTCAACTTGTTTACTAGATCTAAAATTTCGTGCGATTTAAATAAAGAGAAAAAAGATTGTATTTCTGAGTCTCACCGTCGAGGGGGAATGTTATATTTATATTCTCTACTCTGATAATTTTCCAGATCATCTTTTTTGATAAATGTGTTATTCTAACGAGACCTTCTAGTAGAATATTATCTTAATTGATAATTCATAAACGAAGGGGGTAAAGAAAATATATAATTTTGTTTTTAATTTGAAATCTTGGACGGTTTCGTCTAATGTTGGATGGTCTGGAAACCTTCATGAAGTATATCACGTCAAAGTTAAGTCCAACTAAGGTTGTAGATCACTTTGAGGTGTGATATCAAATAGAAAAAGGTGCAAGTTCTAGAACCGTATGTTTATTTTTATGAACTTTTAACCATCGGTTCTAAACGAGGCTGAAGTTCCCTCGGTTGCGAGTTCTATTTTAATTTCATCGAAATTTCAGTTAAGATGTTACTCCTTTTCAGAAACACAATGTCAACCTCCTCCACATCGAGTCCAGGTCTTCGATGAGATTCCCAGACCGTTATGAGTTCATGGTGGAATGCGCACCCGGAGGTGACCTCGGCGGTGCTATCCAAAAGCTGAAAGAGTCCTGCGAATACTTCAACATCATATCCAGAAACCACACAAACAACAGAGGTGAGAGGAAAAAATAAACTCTTTACTTAAGATGACTCTACATTCTACTATATACCTGTTAAAAAAATGTCAAATTTTAATTTCAATTGGATCAATTAAGTAATTCTAGAATAACGTGAACTATGAATGCTGGTGAACATACAATGTCGAAAAAAAAATAGTATTTTTTCTAATTTAGACTCCTCTATTTTTTTTAACGTTGAAAAGGATTTCAATTTGTACATATTTTACATAAAATGTAAATAAACACGCACACTCAAAACAGCTCTCCTAAAAAATAAACTTAGTCGACTCTAGGGTTGCGGGGTAGAGAAAAAGCACAAAACTCCTCAAAATTTTCTACTAAATAATTGAAAATGTTAATAACGTTTAATATAAATATATAAAAAGCGAAGAATTGACGTCTTCTGAACCTGGGTGCAGGAAACCGCTAAGTACTTTTAGAAAGCAATGCCCGAAGGACATGTGGTAAAAGATGTTGCAGAACATATGTGATTATTTCCAACAGCAATCGGGATATTAAACTACTGATTGGCATAGAGCTTTAAAAATATTTTTTTTAATGAATTTGTTTATTTACACCTGAGCAGTAAAATAAATTGTTCAGTAAATTTCATGTCAATTTTTGTATCTACATTTAAATTTAAGAAAAGTACCTTTTGTAGTTTCTTTGTGGAGATTAGTGACCTTTAGTCGATGATTATTCAGAAATCGTGAGATGCGGTCTGCTGTGATGATTGGGCACTCTCAACACGACACGCAAGAATGGCACACTTACGCAGAAAACAAACACTGAGCGCTGAAGATGATCTCAATAAAGATCGAAACGTTGGCACGATAAAGAAAATGTTTTTCTAAAACCTACGCCACACCAGACCGCATCTCACGACTAACTTTTGTAGTTCGTTGGAGTGCCAAAATGATGCAAATTTATTTCTCTCTCTCTCTCTCTCTCTCTCTCTCTCTCTCTCTCTCTCTTTTTCTCACTCTCTATTTTAACAATCTTTCGTAAACCATCACGATTGAATACATATACTGTAAAACTGTGATTTTTCATACAGCAATTTTACAGTTTATTTAAATCAATATCTTCGACAAACTTTGCAAATTAGTTTTTATTAATATGTCTTCTATCTACAGCCATCGGTGATTTCTATGGTTTTTTATGGTGATTTAAGTACTACAGATTAATAGCAACACTAATAAAACACCGCCTTAACACCTAATAATTTGCTCTACACTCTAAAAAAATTGTCAAAAATTACAGTTTGTTTTTGTTAAAAAATTGATTTATAAACCATTTAGCGCAAAATTCAAAGATGTTAGGGACAATAAATGCTTGTACAAAACGGAAAAAATTGGGAGCTATAGAAATTAATAATTTATTTTCAATGAATTCTGATTTTCTTTTCTTTTATAGTTCCTATTTATCCATGAACATTGGTGTTACCTTAGTGAAGAACTCCAGCATTTTTCTCTTTATTAAAATTAATGAATTTTTGGCTAATTTCATAAACCCATCTTCAGTTGATGATAGTTATTCGACGATCGAAGCATCGTCAGCTGAAGATGTGTTTATAAAATTAGCCAAAAATTCATTAATTTTATTATATTTATTATATTCTCTTTATTAAAATTAATCAATTTTTGGCTAATTTCATAAACACATCTTCAACTGACGATGCTTCGATCGTCGAAAAACTATCATCAACTGAAGATGTGTTATTGGAATTAGCCCGAAATTCATTAATTTTAAAAAGAGAAAAAATACTGAAGTTCTTCAGTAAATTACCACCAATGTTTTTGGATGAATGGGAACCAGAAAGAAAAGAAACCTAGAATTCATTAAAAATAAATTACAACATAAGATAAAATACTTTTATAATAATATAATTAAAATTAATAAAATAAATATATATAATATATGTAATAGCAATAATAATAATTTAAATAAAAAATAAATATAAATAAAGGTACTGGAGTTCTTCAATAAAAGAACGCCAAAATCAAGTAAATTTCTTTTTTTGCGTCATAAAATCCTGCTAGAACATGGAATTCATTTTTTAAAAATTTAGTCACAAATTATGGATTATTTTTTAAATTTTGTAATCCAATAAGCGACGTTAGGGATAATAAATCTATTTAATGAACGAAAAAATGTGGAACTGTGCGGAAATGAAAGTACAAATAAATTTGACGATTTAGATCCACTTTTATGTCACTTGGGAGGTCGCGCGGCCCCGTCAATATTCTAAGAAATTTGGAAAATTGTAGGATGGAAGGTTTCTGACATAAGGATTTGTAATGTTACCGTTACTAAGGCAGCACTCCTTTCCAATAAGAGCAGTAGCAATGTCTGTAACGCGACGGCACTGCAAGAATGTCGTATGAGAGTGTCTGAGCCCAAACTAACGATTTTCCAACACGTGTACCTGCAGAATTGGATAAATAATAATCTTTGGGTTACCTTAAACACCACTTTGTACTAATATACTTGAAAATTCAAAGCCGGAAACACACATACCCGATGCAACGCTATGCGAAGCTACTCGATGCTACTCGACGCCTTGCCACGTTTTGGTAGGGTGTACACATCTATGCGACGTCAAGCGCACGCCACGTAGTCACACAGCGTGTATCACAAATCAGTATCGCGACCGCAACGCCTCTTTTCTTCTTAATGCATTATTTTGAGCAAAACCATGTAATAAATTGTTAGTTAAATTTTATAAGCACAACCATGTAATAACTTGTTTGTTAAACTTAATTGTTTTAAATAACAAAGTTATTCCGGTGTTTTGATAAATTTTCTTCCTAACCATCATAATTAAATAATTTTTATAAAACCTCATGTATTTTTGATCTCGTCTAATTTGGTTTACATTAAAATAGGAATGTTGAAATATTACGACAAAATTCATATACTTAGTTTGAAATAAACTACAAAAATATGAGTGTCCTGTTCTGAAGCTACTCGACGAAAATGGTGTAATTTTATGAGCAAAACTATGAAATAAATTGTTACTTAAATTTTATGAGCAAAACCGTGTAATAAATTGTTAGTTAAATGGTTAGGGGTGGTTAGGGTTAGTTAAATTTTATGAGCAAAACCGTGTAATAAATTGTTANACGATCTTCGGCTAGATACGCCGCTGCTCTATGGCGTATCTAGCCGAAGATCGTGGGTTCGAATCCCGCACGTGCCATTAACCTTTTTTCATCTCAACTTAAAACCTTAATTAATTAAAATAAGTATGTTGTAAATAATATAACTACAATAATACATGTAGTTTGAATAAAAATATGAATGTCCGGTTCTTTTGTCTACGACTGTACTCGATGCTACCCGACGAAAATCTGGACAGTGGGGATCGCAGAGCGAAGGGATGCTGCAGGGGGTTCCTTAGCATCGGGCAGATGTGCCCGGGGTTATACAATATTATGAAAAATTGGACTTTGGATTTGCTTCGGGTAGCATCTGGTAGCTTCACATACCTTAAAGCACAGCACAGATACTGCGATTTCCTAGAAAGAATGAGAGAATAAAGCATACTTAGCACTTTATGGATTTTCATTTCAACTAGTTCAAATATTTAATGCTTTTCCTTTCCAATTGTGATTTCTGATATATTTTAATGTTATACAGGAAGTTGCACAAATATACACTTCCAGAAAGGCATTCTTGGTTCAAAATGTTAATTAATTATGGTTTACACTCTCCTGTTCTAGGTACTGTCCCATGGTTTCCGAGAAGAATCAGAGATCTTGACAGATTCGCCAACCAGATCTTGACATATGGTGCCGAACTGGACGCAGACCACCCCGGCTTCACGGATCCGGTGTACAGGGCGAGGAGGAAGTACTTCGCAGACATTGCCTACAACTACAAACAGTAAGTCTGTCCGTTTTTAAGCACTTTACAGTTCTTCACTGTGACATTTATTTCCAGCGGCGAACCGATTCCGCGTGTTGAGTACACACCAGAAGAAATCGCCACTTGGGGGACCGTCTTCAAGCAGCTCTCCTCTCTTTATCCCACCCACGCCTGCAAAGAGCACAACCACGTTTTCCCTCTGCTCATCGAGAACTGCGGCTTCAGGGAAGATAACATCCCACAGCTCGAGGACATTTCTAATTTTTTAAAGGGTAATTCTGAATTTAAAACTTAAGCCATCTTTCAGGTTAATTTGAATAATGCATTAATTTTAAGTGTAGAGATTAGTGACCGTTAATCGATAGTTATTCAGATATCGTGAGATGCGGTCGGGTGTGATGTAGGTTTCAGAAAAACATTTTCTTTATCGTGCCAACGTTTCGATCTTTTATTGAGATCATCTTCAGGGCCTGGGATTTACAAACAATGTTTACATTTAACAAATACATTTAGGATGTGGATAAGTGAATTTATACAATGCAAAATATATTTTATATTCAAACAAAGTATTTCTACTCACTCAAAGTGTTTGTCTTCTGTGTAATTGTGCCATCGACGACACACAAGGATGGCACAATTACACAGAAGACAAACACTTTGAGTGAGTAGAAATACTTTGTTTGAATATAAAATATATTTTGCATTGTATAAATTCACTTATCCACATCCTAAATGTATTTGTTAAATGTAAACATTGTTTGTAAATCCCAGGCCCTGAAGATGATCTCAATAAAAGATCGAAACGTTGGCACGATAAAGAAAATGTTTTTCTGAAACCTACATCACACCCGACCGCATCTCACGATATCTGAATAACTATTAATTTTAAGCACCATAAAGCCCTTAAATATGATTTTTTTAGCAATAAAAAAATAGACATTTTTGGTCTGGATTGAATTTCATTCATTCAGCCAATATGAAGAATGTTTAGATTTCATGTCATTATAAGTGAGAAAAGTAAGGATGAAGGAATAAGTTCAGAGCTGGTTTGGAAAAATATATATCATCGAAAATGTATACCTGAGAAATGTTCATATTCTCTTTTGGGAGAAGGTTCAATATACAAACACCTTCTCCAAAGTAATTTAGATTTTAGTGACTTGTAAAAATTTATGCTAATACCATATCGGATAACCATAGAAATCATATATACCAGCTACTACTTTTTGGTCTGTCACTCTCTAGTAGTAGTAGATTCTTTTTATTAGAAAATAAAAATCGATGGTTATGCCACCGAGTGAGTTTAATTTGAATTGGTGCCAAAAATTGAGCTTGATTTCCCTCCTCTTTGCCATTTTTCAAATGTCGTGTAATCTACTTGATTCTCGGCGACAAATAAAACGGCCACAGAGAGCTTTTAGTGAAGATATACTTCATTTTGCTTATTAACTCCATTAGATTTCGTGGTCCGATTAACCAAATAACCTCTTTCAAATAATTAATCTTTATACAAGGTAGGAGGGAAAAATCAAAAGGTGGGTTGAGATGGGAAGTTAGTGTCCGAGTGGATGGAAGTCACGATAGCTCAAGTGGTAGAGCAGCGGCGTATTTAGCGGAAGGTCTTGGGTTCGAATCCCGCTCGTGGCACTGACTTTTTTATCTCAACCAATACCTTACACAAAGATTAATTATTTATTACTATAATTTGTGACCGAGCTGAGTAAAAAAGTAGATTAAAAAATTTTTTTAATATTTTTTATAAGCAATCGATTTGTTTTTTATTGCACAACATACAACCTCTCTGAATACAATTTTTTGGGAAAACCAAAAGATATATTTTTTGAGCTAGCCTAATCTCTTTGGTTTTTGTATGTCAATTTTTGATATTTCACCACTTTTGTGTTATTTGTTTATCATTTTACAGTTGAAGTCATTGTTTGAGTATTTCGTTCTAAAACAAAATTGTGTTTTTTTAGATTGCACAGGGTTCACTCTGAGGCCGGTGGCAGGTTTGCTGTCTTCGAGGGATTTCCTCGCAGGCTTGGCTTTCAGGGTGTTCCATTCGACTCAGTACATCCGCCACCCAAGCATGCCGCTCTACACACCAGAGCCTGACGTGTGCCACGAGCTTTTGGGCCACGTGCCACTTTTTGCCGATCCTTCATTTGCCCAGTTTTCACAAGAAATCGGACTCGCCTCGCTCGGCGCGCCTGACGAATATGTCGAAAAAATCGCAACTGTAATTTATCGAACCAAAAAGAAATTTCTCATTTTTACAACGTCTGAATTTTCCAGTGTTACTGGTTCACCGTCGAGTTCGGCCTTTGTCGGCAGAACGATCAGCTCAAGGCTTTCGGAGCCGGACTTCTTTCTTCATACGGTGAGCTTAAGTATTGCCTGAGCGACAAACCTGTCCTCAAGTCCTTCGATCCACCTGTGACCGCGCTCCAGACTTATCCTATAACAGAATATCAACCAGTCTACTTCGTCGCTGAGAGTTTTGACGATGCAAAAGAAAAAATGATGTACTTATTATATATTATATATATGTTAAAAGCATGTAATAATGTTTACCCGTTTTCAGAAAATATGCAGAAATCATCCCAAGGAATTTCGGTGTGAGGTACAACGCTTACACACAAAGCGTTGAAGTTTTGGACTCCAAACAGCAAATTCAGGATCTTCTTCGCCAATCAAGCCGTGAAATATGTTCCCTTACTGACGTCCTCAATAGGGTCTTATAATATAACAATCAATCACTTTATGGTTCAAATTGGCAGATTTGTGTTCCATTTTTTTCCCTCTTGAATAATTAGAAATTGTGATTGAAACCCTTAAAACTGTATCAATTGGATGGTAGTGAAATGCAAGAAACTGCTGTAACTATTTTTTTATCGATAATAAACGTAACCTTTGATATTGTTTATTCTTAATCGGTAAGAATGTTGAGATCGACAGAAAAAAGTTTAAATTTTAATGTGTGGTGTTTAGTGGCCGTTAATTAATGATTTAATGGCACTCTCAACACATCTACACAGAAAACAAACACTTTGAGCCCTGAAGATGATCTCAATAAAGATCGAAACGTTGGCACGAAAGAAAATGTTTTTCTACAACCTATGTCACACCAGAGCGCATCTCACGATCTCCAAATAATCTTTAAATTTTAAATTTCGATGAGGATCATCTCCTTCTGATTCCTTCAATCTGATCATGAGCGTTTAAAGCCGGGAACACACTTACCCGATGCAACGGTATGCGAAGCTACCCGAAACAAATCCAAAGTCCAATTTTCCATAAGATTGTATTACCCCGGGCACATCTGCCCGATGCTAAGCAACCCCTGCAGTATCCCTTCGCTCTGCGATCCCCACTGTCCAGATTTGCGTATTGTCGTTTTTTTTTTGGGGGGGGGGACGCAACCACCAAGGGTCATGATTGTCCCAATGACTAACTCATTATCTAATAGATAGAAAGAGGCACGGTCGACCTAGTATATTTATCTATCTATATTTATTTATTTTTATTCTATATCTATATCTATTATTATTATTTATTATCTTTATTATTATAATATCTAATTATTATTATCTTATTGTCTTTATTATATATTATTTATCTTTATATATCTGATCTTGTATATGTAGAGAAGGACAAACAGTGTGAGCTCATATTTTGTCGAGTAGATTTGCTGACTTGAGAAAATCAAACAAATTGCGTATACTATCATTGTTGTCGCCTAGCATTTCTTGGATGCTTATAGGCAAGGAGTGTAGACGTCTATGGGCTATAATGAGCATGATTGTAGATTGTAGATTGTAATTTCAGGGTATAGTATACTGCGCCCTTTGAGAGCTATTGTATCCCCCATTCTGTGCCTAAAGCACATCGGTGAGTCCTATTTCATCAAGAAACTTGATTAATAGGCCCGGTTTCAGTGGTTGAAGCTCTTCTATGGTCACATTGTACATCCCAAAACACTTCCTCCTGCGGGCTAATGTAGCTCCGCAGTTTGTTAGTAAGTGTGTTGGTGTCTCTTCTGCTTCCTTGCAGAATCTATATGTGCCATCTTGGATTATTCCAATTTTCTTTAGATGTCCATTTAATCTACAGTGTCCTGTTAGGAATCCTGTTAGGATTCGCAGTCTATTCCTGCTTCCTTTGACACATTCTGTGATTTCTTTCTTGCCAAAATTGGTTAGAAGATTCTTGGATTGTCTATGCCCAATAAGTGAATTCCAAAGTTCACTCATTTTCTTTTTGTCCTTCTGTCTGAGGTATTCGTTAATAGTGTGGGTTCCTATGCCACAGAAGGTGTCTATCAGCGGTGTGGCAGCCCCTTTTCTTGCAAGGGTGTCCGCTTCCTCGTTGCCTTCTACTCCCATGTGTCCTGGGACCCAGCAGAGGCTAACTTTATTCTGCATACCCAATATGTTTAGTTTGGTTTTGCAGTTCAGCACCATCTTTGAACTAATGGTATTTGAGCTTAGTGCTTTGATGGCTGCTTGGCTATCTGACATGATAGCTATATGCTTGTTTTTGTACCCTCTATTTAGACTGAATTGGATACATCTTTCAATTGCGTGAATCTCAGCTTGGAAGATACTGGTGTGTTTTCCCAAGGGTTCTGAGTATTTGGTTCCAGGTCCAGATACTCCTGCCCCTGTACCTTCTTGTGTTCTAGATCCATCTGTGTACCAAAGGATGGTGCCTTTTTTGAGGGAGTTTTTCCTTTTCTTTCCCATTCCTTTTAGGTGCCCAGATGTATACGGAATTTTTGATTAAATTCAAACCTCTTGTTGATGTCATCTCTTGGAGCCATGAGTGAGGGATGGTTTTTCCACAGTTTGTTTCGGTCTCTCCATTTCAGTTTTATTCCTGTTTGAGGTTTCTCTCTAATAAAGTTGATTATGGTTTTCTGTGCTGTCCTTTCTATCATGTGATGTAGGGGGGGGATTAGTCCCAATATCTTTTCCATGCTAATTTTAGGACATGTTCTCATTGCTCCCGTTATGCAGATGCATGCAAGTCTCTGTATTTTTGTGAGTTCTTTCCTTTTGGTTATTTGTTCCGCTTTATCAGCCCAGGCTATAGCTCCGTATGTAAGTAGAGGTCTTACTATCATGGTGTACATCCATAACAGGGTTTCTGGCTTACATCCCCAGTTTCTAATGAGCATGATGTAAGTATATGTTTGATTGCACATTCCGCAATTGGAGGTGTCTCTCGCCCCATCAAATGACCCTCGGCTCTACCAGTGTCCAATCCTCAACTGTGCAAGAACCACTTCGTCTTTTCTACTATTTCTGAATGAAGTAGGCCATGCATCTACAGAGTTCTTTATTTCCCGTAGTTTGTTTTCAGATATGTTAGTCCAGACCCTAACCATCCCTAACTATGAGTTAGCCTAAAGAACCTTAGTCGATCGCTATCAATACAAACGTAGAATAGCGGCCATGTACTAAAGATCGTAAATTTCAAACCCCTCCTTCGTCACTTTTTTATTGTCTTTTTCGATGTAAATCGACCTGCAGAGTCGATTGAAGAAAGAAGCTCTTAAACCTAGTGATTTTCGATAAAAACTTAAAAAACCAAAAACAATTTAATGTCTTTTCGATGTAATACGACCTGCAGAGTCGATTGAAGAAAGAATTAAGCCCATAAATCACGTCGTTTTTGAGAAAAACAGAAAAAATCGAGAAAAAAAATTTATTTTCTTTTCGATGTAAAATGATCTGCAGAGTCGATTGAAGAAAGAATTAAGCTCGTAAATCGCGTAATTTTCGAGAAAAACGCAAAAAACCGAAAAATTTTTGTCCTTTTCGATGTAAATCGACCTGCTGAGTCGATAGGAAAAGGAATTAATCTTGTAAATCACTTACTTTTCTAGAAAAACGAAAAAAAAAGAAAAATATTTTATTCTTTTCGATGTAAAACGACCTGCAGAGTCGATTGAAGAAAGAATTAAGCACTTAAACCTAGTAATTTTCGAGAAAAACGCAAAGAACAGACAAATTTTTGTCTTTTCGATATAAAACTATCTGTAGAGTCGATTGAAGAAAGAATTATGCTCGTAAATCACGTAGTTTTTGAGGAAAAAAAAAGGAAAAATTGTCTTTTTCGTTGTAAATCGACCTGCTGAATGGATTGGAAAAGGAATTAGTCTCGTAGAACACATAGATTTCGAAAAAAAAAACCCAAAAAATCGGGAAAAAAATTATTGTCTTAGCAGGTCGATTTACATGGAAAAAGAAAAGAAAATTTTTTTCCATTGGTAGGAGAAACTCGAAAAAGCGATAAAATACTGTTTCGAATTTTTTTTTTCTGACTTGATATTTTGTTAGTTTCAGAATGTATTTGTACATATTTTGCCCAATTTAGGACCTGATTGGTACACAAAATCAAGTTGCACTAGTTGAATACCTCCATTCCCCAACTCGTAACTCGCCCCTCATACAATTGGTAGATAAGATTTACAACCACGAGAGACAACCTGGCATGATCGATGTGTTCAGACCGACCGATGTACTTTTTGTCTTATCTTCCATGTATCACACCCAGTTCAAATTTAACAACTTGGAGAATAACAGTGTGAGATGCATTAAAACAAAATGTGGTACAATTTTAAAAGATGGTTTATTTACTCAACAGTTACACCAAACCTGCACACACTGAACATTTTTTTTTGCCCATTTTGATATATTGACAGTTCACAATTTAAAACCTCACATATTTTTTACTTATATTGTAATTTTAAAATTTTATTATTTTTAAACAAAAACAATTAATTAATTAAATAATGTTTATAAGCCACAAGGGACAAAAAAATGTGACATTACGCAGCCATAACTGAATGGCTGTTTTTTTTAAAGTAAATTATATAGTTTTTAATAGTATAAAACAAACACTGAACATTTTTATACAATATTACGATTAAAAAAATCTAAAAATCATAAAATTAGAATTGGACATGGTGTTTACCTTGTCAATATTTTTTTTTTCTGTTCTCATGGACGGGTTTTGTTGTAACTATCACAATTATCATTAGTAATTATCAGATCTAATGGACTCCCACCGCTTTTCTAAACAAACTGTCTTTTTTTTAACTCAAGAAAAAGATTAAAATTTGTTTGTTCTTTAAAATTAGGTTTAATTTTTCTACAAAAAATGTAATAAATTCCTAAACAACAAAACAACATAATAAAAATAATATCCTTCTCTTTACAATAATAAAAAATAACACAAAAATTAAAGCACTGTATTTTTTTAAATACATATTTCTACACCTATCTACACAATAATACAATGTCAAAAATAGAAAGTACATTATGATAATTCATTATTACAAACCTATAAATACCTTGGATATTCTTTCGTATGAGAATAATAAAAATCACATCAAATAATTGCCCTCTTTCCTAACAAATAATACGCAGAGATTAAAAATGGCTAATATTAATTGTATTTACACAAGGGGGTTGGCATTTTCTCCGCATGATACTTCTAGTTTGGCAGTTTGAAATGTTTCTACTTTTTCAGCCAATTTAATTTCGGGGTGAAATTGATTTTTTTTTTTAAAGTCTTTGAAGCTTGGGGTTTCAGATCTATGTTGCGAGTATTAACAGGTGGGATGACAGGTCGACTCGCAGGGGGGACAAAACTTCTTAATGAGCCCCATCATTATAATAGTGATATAAAGGTAATAATTTATAATACTATAATAATTATAATCCTTACTTGGTTCATTTTTTCTGAGGTCATACTTGCCCAATAACAACATTTAATTTGTTTGTGTGATAATTAGGTATTAGGTCACAGAAACTCAAGCCAAGCTTTCATTTGATTTGTAAACATGTAAATGAAAGTTTGGCACGAAGTTGGGAGTTTCTATGCTTTTTATCTAAGGTCTTGGTTTAGACGAAGAGTATAATTAATTTGATATAAGTTTTATTGTTTTTTTTTTTATTTAAATTTATATGTTTCAAGTCTGAGCGCAGAAAAAAAAATCCACTCAGGATATAAACCACACACTCACTTTTTTTTCTAAAGTGGAAATATTTAAACAAATTTTTAAAACCACTAAAACCCTAAAACAACACCCACATTCACACTATTACAAAGTTTCATTATCGTTTATATAATTTTTTTAAATTTATATAAATGGAAGAAGTAGATAGACTTTTTCTATCAAATGAAGTGTTGGCTTAAAAAAAATAAAAATAAAAATTTATACAATCCCAATAAAGAACTATTGAAAAAAAATAAATAAATAAAAGTGATATATTAAATAAATAAAAAAAATATATAAAAAACTTTAGTGGGTTATAAGGAAGCAGATCCACTAAACACTTTTAAAAAGATGATTTAAGTACAAATGAAGGGAGGTTTTCCGTTGTACTAAGGGTTGTTTATTTTTCCTGCTGGGGTGAAGCAGTGTCGATACCGCTGTCTAAGACGCAGGCCTCTGCTTTCTCCGAGTGTCGGATGAGGGTCGGTAATTCGAGTCGGAGGGTGTCTTTTGTGTGCCGCAGCTCGCCCAGGTTGAGAGGGGTCAGATCAGAGGCATTCGGCGAAAAATTGATTATCTCTTCGCTCTCCCGTCCTGGGAAGAATTCGCTTCCGTCTGAGTCGCTCCAGTCGAAAGCGCGGCTTGAACTGCTGATGTAAAATTCACCGTCATCTGTTATTAGATCTGGTGAAAAATACGTACATTAAAAAAAAAATCGATGATTGACAATCTAAACTTTTAAAAATAAATTTTGTTAGAAGTCAGTTGAAGACGAAAATTAAATTTCCTCATAAAGGTGCATTTTCATGATTCTACTTATGTTGATTAACTAAAGTCTTCCGGTCAATTTTTTGTCTTTTAAGTCAGGCTTCTTTCAAAATCATTAAAATTTTAGCATAAGCCTCGAATTACCAGGTAATGCTATGCGACCTCTTTGACACAAAGGTTAAAATTTAGAATTTATGAACCCTGCAACCTAATTATGACATGACCTGATGACTCTAAATTAATATGGAGATAAAATGCATTGAGTTCTGTCATTAAAAACTTTTTTTTTAAATGGCTGGACTTAATTGCTGGCTCGAAGAACAAAATTAATATGGCTAAAGTTTAATCAGTTTTGAAACATGTAAAAACAAAAATTATTCAAGTCAGTTTGAAGGTGAAAAGTTGAATGGTGAGAACAAAACGCAAGAATAAAATAATATCAAATATTCTACACTGTGACAATCCATATCATAATATATAAAAGAAATAATTAATGGTATAAAAGGCAAGATAATTTCTTTCTCATGCAAAAGCATACACACAGATATACATAAGACAAAATAATGTATCATGTAAAACTTTAAAAAATAATTTTAACTTGAAAGTTGCCTGTGTAAAAGGAATAAACATAAAATATACTCATCTTCAATTTTTTTAATTCTGAAAAATACAACAAACTGTTGTAATAATGTCAACAAAAGTAATAGAATAATAAAATGTAATTTTGTAATGAATAATTAGGGATAAGGACAATTTGAAAGAAAATACTCAGTTCTTTCATCCAGTGTTTAACTTGTCTGTAGGCAATTCTGACGTAGAATTTACAGGTTGAAGTTATATAGGATATTTTACTAAAAGGCAAGAATCAGATAATTCAGGGCTTATTATTGAAGATGGGGAGAGAACTTGTGACAAAATATAGACTATTATTCAGGATATGATTTTACAAAGCCCATTTTATTTTTTTGTGTCTCAAGCACAAGGCACAAGTGGTCGCAATTCGAACCCTGCTGTCAAAGACCTACCCATGCTGCACCCTGCTGTCCAAATGGTAATTTTTTTTCCAGTACAATTTTTAAAAAATTAATTCGAATAAAATAAAACACATGATTAAAAGGCTAAAAATACTATTCAAGAAATATTTTTTTGTTAAATTATATTTTATATGTTCAAATTATCCAGCTGCAGTTGGGAAAAACCTTTTTGTGTGATTTATTTGCTTTGTTTTTTTGTTTTTTTTTTGTTTTTTTGTGCGTTTATATATATTTACAGACACATACACATAACACACCCTCGCAGGGCCCAAATGAAACAAAGGTACTTTGAGAATTTATAGTAAATTTCATGCTAAACAAAAAATTCTCAAATTAAATAGAATGAGACCAACTACATGTTTTTATCTTAATCTGTTGCTGTGATGATTTTTTTTAAATATATATAACCACTTTTTTATTGGGGGGGGGGACTTTTTTTAACATTTTTCCAGTGTTGATTTTTTGGCGAATTTTCAGTTTTGACTTGTTAGCAAATCACTTGAAAGAAGGAAGATAGTGGGGAGTATGTAGTTTATAAGTTTTTACGTTTTTATTGGACGTTAACATTATTTCAGCAACATCTCAAATATCCCTGCCAGCATTAATGCAGTGCACACTTTGATTCGCTACAGACCTTGTTGTGTTGTTTTCAGAGACGTTTCATAATATGCAATTTGTATGCTGTTGTCTAATTGTTCTTCCAATTGTATCAGTCCAAGCCTTTGTATTGGGTTGTCCGGAAAATAATGCAGGATTTTGGTATTAAACAAAAAAAAAGAAACTAGTTACTTTAAAGCAATGTTCTTTAATCAAAATAATTTCCCATACTCTCAATACATTTCTCCCAACGTGTTGGTAACTTATTAATTCCGTCTGAGTAGAATTCAGAATTTTTAGAATTGATAAAGTCAATAAATGCATTTTCCAGTTCCGTTTGATTTTTGAATATTATGTGTTGTAAGTAGTGGTCCAGGTGTCTAAAAAAATGGTAGTCAGTAGGCGAGAGGTCCGGAGAGTAGGGTGGGTGAGGCAAAGTTTCATAGCCAAGCTCCAATAATTTTTGTGACGTTACACGTGACACATGTGGTCGAGCGTTGTCATGCAACAAAATGGGCCCTTTCCGATTGACCAAAGAGGGCTTCATTACTGCCAATTTCTGATGCATGGTATTAATTTGGTTACAGTATGATTCAGCATTGATGGTTTCGCCAGGATTTAAGAAGCTGTAGTGTATTAAACCAAATGAAGCCCACCATACCGTAACCATTACCTTTTTTTGATGAGTTGGGGGCTTTGGAAAATGTATTGGAGCTTCTCCTTTGTCGAGCCACTGTCCAGAACGTCTAGTGTTATCGTAGAGAATCCACTTTTCGTCACATGTAACAATTCTGGCCAGAAATGGGTCATTTTTGTTTCGACAAAGAAGTGATGCACAAACATCAAAGCGCTGATTTTTTTGGCGATCGTTTAATGAGTGTGGAACCCAATTTTCGAGTTTTTTCACTTTTCCAATCGCCTTGAGGTGGTCAGCGACGGTCGTTTTACTGACTTTGAGTTGCTCTGCAAGTTCTCGAACAGTTGTTTTGGGGTTTTCTTCCACCACTGATCGCAGAACATCATCATTAAGAGAGGAAGGCCTTCCACGACCTTCTTCATCTTCAAGGCTGAAATCTCCCTCCCGAAATTTTTTAAACCACCTTTGCACAGTGCACTCATTAACACAACCCTCGCCCCAGACTTGGTTAATGTTTCTAGCCGTTTGGGCTCCGCTTCGGCCGAGTTTAAACTCGTAAAAGAAAATCGTACGAAATTCTCGCTTTGACATTATAAGGATGACTGAATTATTTCCAAGTAGCGGAATGCTACAGAGGTAAACAAACAATATCATTTGGAAGAGGATTAATAAGTGTTGACATTCATACAAATGAGTAATCCTGTAAACGTAAACAGAATATTTTATATAGATTTTTTTTAATGAAAACTTAAAATCCTGCATTATTTTCCGGACAACCCAATATAAAGTCTTAACTTACCTGAACAGGTACTTTTAATAGACAGGCATCCCTCATGATCAGACAATTTTATTTTTTCTATATGTCATTTAAGTTACTACTCTGGCTTTAATTAGATGAAAAACAATGTGGGTTCACCCAATTAATACAAAATGCTACATGCGTGGTGGCTATGCCCTTCTTTATAAAGAAGAAAACACTAATGAAATTAGTTTTGTCATTATCAAAAATATCACTTCTTTCCACTTTTAAAAGTTACAAAGGTAAAAGTAAAACATAAGTCCGATGGAGCTGCTTGATACAGTACAAACTGTGTCAATAACACCATGCTGAGCAATGTCCCGTCAGTCACCTTCATACAGAAAAAGTATCAAGTGACCAAACAACTAAAAATCATTTTCATACCAGGCACTTGCCTGAAAGCCATATCTGTCCCTATGATTAGTCTCTTTGGTACTGATCTCTCATACCGATCGCCTCCATGCGAACCAGGCCTTAAGACCCTCTTGGACGCCTTTGGTATTTCCAGATCAGTTCTCATTTCAGTTAGAAAGTTTGCAGATAGTAATTATAACAAACCGATTATGAGAATAGTGCAAGAAAGAAAAAAAATGGAGAAACCTCAAATTCATACAAGTCCTTTAATTGGTGAAAATTAGTAAATTCACATGAACTAAATGTAACTGTTTTTTCTTTCTATATGTGGATTCTTCTAACAAATGGATAAAACCCTTTCCCGAGAAGTGTCTGTTTACCGGAAGTTCACAAACACTCTGGATCAAGATATAGTCTTGAAGATAAAAAGCAAACATTCAGCTGTTACTGCCAATCTTTCACTCTATTTACGGTCTAAACAATTTTAAATATATTTTCAGATTGGCAGGCGATCTCAAATTTCAGTTGCGGTCCTTGGCAATGTTAGAACTGAGTCAGCCTTCAGGGAAATTTGAGATCACCTGTAAAAAACTTAAATATGTCAATCTGTAGACATAGTCAAGATTGTTTTGCTCTTATGATAACCCTAAAATAGGTCGAAAACTTGACAGTAACAAGTGGATTTGCTTTTTTTCTTCAAGATCCTGAGTGTTCATGAGTGAAAAATGGTCGATACTTCTAACATTGAATAAGGAAATTTGACTGTATAGTTCTGATCAGATACATTTTTTGAAAGCTTGAAGGAACTGTGAATTTTTATTTCAAATTGGTCTTATCCTTGATTTTTCAATACAAAATTAAAGGCTGATATCAATCGAGATAAAAGAAAATATTCCTGGAGAATTTGTTAAATTGTTTGAATCTTGTTAATACTCCAAAACACCATTTTTGTATGTAACCCTCAACCACAAAAAGCAATCAGACGAAAAGCAAAAATTACTGCCAATAAACAAATCCAACCAACAAATTAATCTAAATTGAAGGAGTGTTAGTTAAAGATGAAAAGTTTTGATAACTTAAATCTACCATGAAAGATTATTAGACTAACAAGAGAGCATTAATTTCTTTATGTTTATTTCAAACAAAACATTGAATTATATGAGCGAATCTTAAATAAATAAACAAAAATAAAAATGACATGCTAAAATGAGAACAAGACGAGGCGTCGAGATTATAAAAGGCAACTTACGTGGACCCATGTTATAGTTAAGCCTGTAGAAATCGTAATCTTGGTGTTTTTTAGTATTTCCTTGATCTTCAATGTCACTATCAGGCTCGTTTGCCGTTTGGATTTCTACGTCACCCAAATCCCAATCTAAGCCGTTAATAAAATGAATATTAATAAATATGCCCGATGATTTGCTAAAAGCTATGAATAAGCAATGAGGGTCTAAACATGCTTTCGGTTTGCAAAAAAAGCCCAATTTTGTTAAATTTACCTTCCATAGTAAAATCCCTAACTTCCGAGGAGTAAGCTGAAAGAATTCGGTTTTTATTCAGCATTAAGGTGATGTGTTATTAATTTATTAAAGGGGATTTTGTTACCAAAAAAAAAAAACTTTGCTTACCACCAAATGTGGAATAGTCAGAAAATGAGGACGCCTGGGTGTTGATCTCTTCTTCCTCTTCGACTTCTTCCCTCGGGTACTTATAAACACACTGGTACTTTTCCTTTTCGAAAACTACACGTTTTCCTTCACTTTTCACCTTTTAACAAATAAGCGTATTAAACAAAACAAAAAAAATCCTGATACGAAAAATCTTTGAAAATTACCTTATTTGGGCTTTTTAAAGAAGATTTGATGGGAGTCGCATTTGGGTTCCAGGTCGATGGTACAAATTCCGTTCCGCTTTCTTCTGAAGAAGTGTCATCGTCTGTGTCAGTCGTGTTTTCTTCCTCCTCATCAATCCTTTCCATTTTTGATGGTTCCTGAAGCTTATTTGCAAATGCATAATTCAAATAAATGTGATACAAATGTTTGTATATCAAGTTAGCTATGATTAATTAAGCTTCAATAAAAATTCATATTAAGAACCCAAATAAAAAATTCTTTTTCTAAACTTTCCTTTAAAATAAAAAAAAACTATTATCACTTAACTTTTTATTCTTTTAATTGCCTTAGAAAAAGCTACAATTATAAAGAATTAAAGTTTATATTACATGCGTTTCCTTTCCAACTAATTTTATTACAAACTTGATCATTCCCTGATCACCCAATTATAGCTTGCTTTGTCTTACTACTCTGTTGACCCAAAATCACATCTGTTTGACAAAGGCAGTGATAAAAAGCAGACAAGAATGATCAGGGATGATCAAATAACAGGTTTATCACCTCATCGCAAGTTTCAATATTGTTAAAAATTTGATCCACCCATGAGTATATAAAGATGCCATGCTAGTGGCATTTTTATTTACTCGAAATGGCAAAATGATGGGAAATTCGAAAACATGGTTGAGATGAGGAGTTGATGTCCAAGTGGATTGAAGTCACAACAGGTCAAGTGGTTAGAACAGCGGCATATTTAGCCAAAGGACGTGGGTTTGAATCCCGCTCGTGACATTAACTTTTTCATCTCAACCAAGACTTTGGATAAAAAGAATAATAAATTGAAATGAATAATTATGAGATATCTCAGTGCAGATGATAACATGCAGCTTGTTTTTTTTCCAGTAATTTTTATTTGTTAGGCAAATTAGTATAAGCATAAATCCACCTTTGATGATGGCAAAATGCAATAAACAAAACAGAGATGTTAAGGTTAAAATGAGTTTTCTTTATGCCATATGACCAATATTGATCTATGTGTAATCTCCATTTTTAACTAGAGTTCTTCATGCTTAAGGTTTTTTTTAAGATCTGATAGATTTATTAAGAGATCTCGTGTGTATCAGGCCTTGACCGTTTCTTTTCTAGGAGTAAGAATCTCAGACTTTTTTCTTCTGTTTTAAGAATTCCTCAGGAGTCCTATATCATTCTAGTCCTGAATTGTCCTTGGATTAGTAGTTCTGCTGTTAGTTGCGATGAACTTTTTGGCTAAGGGTGTTGTGTGTCTAGAAGATGAAATGATATTTCCAATATCAATTTGACATTTGGAGAAAAAATATAAATTATAAACTGAATTGTTGCAATTGTAGCGTAGAATGGAAAGGTGATGATCGGTCATTTTTTACTGTGGCTATAATTTATGCCACAAAAGGTTTTGGGCCCACGGTTGTTCCGAGGTGCCCGTTTCAACTAGAATGCTGTCTCGTTGCCTGAAATTTCCTCATTCGTATTCAGACAGTTCCAGACTATTTTTGGAGAGCTTTTGGTGCTACCTAGTATTGTTACACTACTGAGACGTTTGTTATTTATTTCATATGCCAATTCGGCTTGAAAGTTTTTCTTTTTAATACCATTTCCCATCTTTGAGTCATTGTATATAGAAGAGCTCCAGGTTTTCTTCTTTTCTGTTAACTTTCAATTGTTCTTTCTTTTTAGTAATTATGTTAATGGTTTTTCACAGTCTGGTATTTTCTCAGGTGTTTCTGAAATAGTCTGAGTCGTGTCAGCTATTTTATCTTTATAGAAAATCTCAGATTTGTTTGGTGCTTTCTTTCTACTGACTAATGAATTCTCAATCCAGGTTTTGTTGGTTATTTCTTGAACTAAGACCAATTTTTTTTTTTAAGCAAATATTTTGATACACATCTCTGGTTCCCTCTTCAAAACTATTGGGTTGTCCAGAAAATAATGCAGTTTTATGGTCATAAAATAAAAACAATTAAATGTTATTTTAAACATTTTTTGTTAATTAAAATCTCTCTCAAGACACTTTTCCCAACGTGACGGCAAATTATCTATACCTCTGAATAGAATTTCAATGCAACTGACTACAGCACGCAAGCGGTAACTGAAAGAAAACATGAAAATTGTTGAATACAATATTCTATAATATTCATAAATTCTTCTTTTTATTTATTAAAACAGTTAGAAAATTAAATCTCTATGTACTTCTTGATTTAGCTAAACCTAAAACTAAAAGAGGTATGTACATAAAGATTTAATTTTTTATCTATTTTATTAAAAAGAAATATTTATGGATATTAAAAAATAATGTAGCTTTGAAGAAGGACCAGGGACGTGGCTCAAAATGTAATGTAACTAAAATATACAGCTTAAAACAAATAATTGTTCTTTTTAGTTCAAGAAATAACCAAATAATCAAGGATTTAAAACATTTTACTACCAAATTAAACATAAATAAAGAATATTCGAAGATCATGAGATGTGGTCTGGTGTGACGTAGGTTTTAGAAAAGCATTATCGGGATAATCAGGCCGAACCATTAACAACATTTTTTCCTCATTGTCGGCTCCTTTCACCTCAAAAAGCCAGCTCATCATATAAAAATGTCTTTATATCCTGACTTATGACTTTATATCCTGAATAATCTTAAACTAACGTTCACTAACCACCACACATAAATAAAGAATTTAAATGAATTCTCAATTCATTGTCGGTGGTATTGTTTTAAGAGCTTCAGTGGTGCCAAGGCTTGCTATTCTTTGGACTTTTTATACTAGTTCCCCCTGCATTTCTTTGTTCTATTTTTGGCCACCTGTAACTGTGATCATGTGTCTGACTATAAGATATGACCATAATGTCATCTTATTCAACCTCAAGATGTATCAGATGTCACGGTTGGGTAGAGCCGATGGTAATCTGGTTTTGACCTGTTCTCACTATGTCAGAGCAACAGATGCATCCCTGTTGCCCAATGCATTAATATTAAATTTCTCTCTCACAAGGCGAAGTAAGACCAAATAAAATTCTTCAAATTAACCCCTCAGTTTGTCGAACAAGCTCAACTGTTCACCTGGCGTAAGAAGTTAAAGGAAGGGCGTGAATGGGTGGAAAATAAGAATTGTATTCCTCAGACCAGTATAGTACAAGTGCCATTTGTGATAAAATGGCAGAATGAGTTCGAAGCTATGGGAACTATCAAACCATGGCAAAGGACCTCAGGTTGCGTCTCTGCATATGACATAAGAAGAGTACAGACATTTGCCTGCCAGGAGTGTTCAGCACGCTTTGATCATCCTCTCTATAGCCATGACCAATGAGACTTAAAAAATACTATGTGAAGCAACTGGCAGAATGATGATGGGATCTAAAACTCCAAATCTGCTGAAAATTTTATTTCTAAAGCACTATGTTATCTTGAAAAATTATGTATGATTGGTTTTATACAATTTGTTACAAATAAAGCCTTATTTATATTTGATTTACCCTCATACAAGAAGATTTCATGATAGGAGCAAAAAGACAATAGAAAAGTAGAAAAAGTGAAGCTTTAAAAGGAAATTATCTTTATATGATAATCCCACTTTTTACAAGCCATTTTAAAAGAAAACGTGTTAATAAGCAACAAAGCAGATCTACTAGAAAGCGTTAAAAAAGCCGGACAACTTCAAATTCATGCAATTCTATCATCACACAAATAGCAAATGTAATGTCCTCACCAAGCAGATGGTATCTGCGGTACCCCTTAGCAGCTCGTCTTTATCACCTTCCTGAGCGACGAGGGCAGGAAGACAAGAAAAGAAAATTCATCACTACCATCGCAATCCGACACCATTAACTTATTGTAAATATACACGAATGCATTATTACGCTTTTTACGAACCTTTCTCCAGATCATTTCAATTAAAGGTTTAACCAATGTAAATAACAATGAACCTTTTTTTTATGTTAACAGTTAAACTTTTTAAAAAATGGATAACAATTAAACCATATTGTTTTGTTGTCGTTTAACATTTTTATTTTGGAAATATTTTCCATATACTTTATTTAATAGCTATTTAATTAGATTTTTATATAAAATCAATTAAGATAATGTGAGAACAAACCTTTTTTTTCTATTTTTCAATCTCATTAAGATAGACAATTTAAAAATTAACAACTTTGACAATTTATTTCAATGTAATTTCTTTCAAAGCTTAATTTTAACTGTCATCGATTTTTTTTTATTTTGACATCAGCTGTTTAAATACATCTGTAAATAATTTATTCTGTTTGTATCTGTAATCTTGAAAAAGTTTGAATTAATTATTTTTATTGGAAAGTTTACTGATTTAATCTGTTAATCGTATGCTATGAAATTATGTGTTAAGAGTTCAAGATTAAGTTTTTAATATTGAAGTAATTTTTATCCATAATTTTTTTTTTTTAATAGAGGTGGCTACCACTAGGGTCAATGTCGCCTAGAAAGTCAATAATTAGAGGGGAAAATTTTTTTGGATAATATTAGAATTAAGTATTAGCTCACCTTCCAAACAAATTCACCACTTGACGATGATGAGTGGTCGTCGCTCGTGTCGCTTTCCCAGTCTGGAGTGTATGTCCCATTTTCATCCGGCTCTATAAAAGAAGTTGTCATCTCTTCTCCCTCTGCTTGATCGGTTAACTCCATGAGTTGACAGATAGTCGGCCGCCAGCCTTTTTCCGCGTCTTCTGGTGACGGCATCGGAACCGTAATCGAGCTTGTGCCAATTGAGAGTGAGGTGGGTGTGGCCTTGACTGAATACTCCTTGCTGCTGTCGCTCAGACTGTCTTGAAGGAGTTTTGTGTCTTCGTACGTCGGAGTTGAAGCAAACGATGACATCAGGCTCTGGCATTTTGAGTCATTCGAACTCACGTCAGGTGAGAGAAGCGCAAGGGTGGATGTGATGTTCGGCTTCGCAGCCAAACCTTTCTCATCGCTTCCAGACGGCGACATCAGCTCTTCGCTCGTAGGCCAGTTTTTGTTTGGCAATTCGCCTTCTGGCGTTTTCTGTTCAGATTGGAAAAACAAATCTTTGAGCCAGGACTCATCGGATTTTTTTTTCTCAAGTTCCTTTTCTGAAGCGTTTTTCATGCTCATGGGTTTTTCAAGCAATAGATCAATTTCATGCTCTGCCTTTTTATGTTTTGGCGTTTCTTCTTCAACAACAATCACGGGAGCTTCTGTGCTGTCTTTTGTCTCTCCTTTCAGCTCAGACTTGTCTGGGCTTTCCACAGTACCGTTACTTTTTTCTTCGATTTTCTCATATTTCAAAACCTGTATGTTATTGCTTTCTTCAACATATTCATTCTTGATATCTTCAAAATTGGTCCTTATAAGTTCCTCAGTCTCGTCTTTGTAACTGCACGCAGGCTCGACACTACACGGATCGCTCACATCTTTTTCAATCAATTCATCATCTTTGACAATATCGGTTTTCTTTATGATCCCTGCATCAATTAAATCTTGCATTATTTCAACAGCTTCATTGTTGGGCTTGCCAATTGAAATTTCCTCAACTTCTTCCATGCTCTGGCCGAGATCGAAGGGTAGACTCGGTGGACCGGAATCAAAAAGATCTGATCTTATGGAACAAGGAGACATGTAAAGGCCAGACATATTATTCTCAGGAGAAGACAGAGTATCGCTTCCTATTGAAATATCTGGTGACAAAGGAGCATTGTCTGGACTGAGGATGTATGTTTCAGAATTAACACCAATTGAATCGTCGTCTTTAAAGTTCTCGTTTATCTTTCTTGGCAAAACAAATGCTAGATGCGACTGGGGCTTTGGACTTTCAATTAGTGTGACTTCATTCGTTTCTGTGTCTATCATGATAACATCATCTTCAACAGGGAAGTTATCCGAAGGTAATATTATTTCTTTACCTTCTTCCAGGTCCTCAATGATGATTGGATCTTTATCAGGAGTATCTTTGAAAACTATTTCTTTTATCATATCTTCTTTGAACGTGTCTATCGCAGGTTCGACAGGAGGGAGAATCAACACGGGTAAGTTGTCGTCAATCACTAATGACGATTGGTTTGATTCTTGTTCTTCTAAAATTGGTGACAGCTGTGCCGGATAAGTAAATTGAATAGAATCAGTCGTTTCTTGTTCAGGTGAGCTCTCCTCTTCGACCTTGCTGGTCTGTTGAGCGCACGGTAACTTTTCTTTCAGTTCATTCCTTATTGCATTGACAAATTCATCATCAATCGTCAAAACTTGCTGCTCTTCATCTTCAGTGGAAAGGGAGACCCAACCGTTTTCTTTCTTTTCACTTTCTTGCTTGGGATGTAAAAACCAGCCTTCAATATTCTGAGGCGTTTCATTTACAAATTGCTCGTAATATTTCAATTCATCTTTATCATTACTCTTTAGTGTGTAATCATCAAGCTCGGCATCGATATCTTCGAGGTTGTACTTTTCATCGCATGTATCTTCGACACTTTCACTTAGGCTTCCTTTATCTCTAAAACCAGAGTCAGAACTTCTTTCATCATCCGGAGTCAATAGTTTTCCACCGTACTCATCTTCAGAACTCCTCAACTGGAAATCATCAGTATATTTCATTACATCTTCTAAACGATTCTTCAAATCGTTCATTTGCTTGTCCTGGTCTATACACCGCTCCGAGCTGTGCCCAGAATCTATAGAAAAATAGGAATCGAAGCTGCCGTTATGATTGTACTCTTCAGAAACATACTCTGCCATGTTAAAAACGGGAATTTCGGATAATTTATGTTCTGTACTGAGTCCTGAGTCAAGAGATTTAGATTTGCTCACTTTTGAATTGTGCTGTCGGAGCGCAGATTGGATGGGACATTTCAAATCAGATTTTATCCTTTTTGGTGAATCTATATTTAATGGAGAAATGAACCTTTCTTCTTTCTTAACTTCTGTTTTTACGACTCTCTGTTCAGGTTCATCTTCTTCATCTAAAATGTTTGCTTCTTTTATAGGGGTCACAGGCCAATCTTTTACGTTGACTTCTTCATCGGAGAACTGTTCAGATGGTGAAAATGTTGTTTTAAGGCCTTTGAAGAAATCTAAAGTGTGCTCTTCACAAGAACCGAGGATAACTGAAGACTCGAGTTTAGAATCCGGTTCATTTTGAACTTCGGGTTGATTTATTTGGACAGATTCATTTGCACTTTCCGTGTCAGAATCTTCGGACTCACGGCAGATGAAAACAAATTTCCTTGGCTTGAAACTCACCTCGACTTGCTCTTCGGGCTCTTCAATTTCTGGCTGCAATTCAGATTCGGTTATTATGATTTTAGGAACACAATCTTCCTGACTAGAGTGTTTCTCAGCTGTTTCATTTTTATAAGCTGCCTCGGAGGATTCAACATTTACTTCTTTACTATTTACACTATCTACATTCTCACTATTTACAATACCAGTCTCTGTTTTATCACAATTTTTGATCTTGTCAAATGTCGTTTCCGAGGCAGCCTTGACTAAAAAAGATTGTTCATCTTGACTCTTGCTACTGTCTAATTTTTCATTTTCTAAAAAAGTTTTTATTTCATCTCTTTGGTCTGCTTTATCACTGATAGGTAAAAGAGATTCTAAATTTTCTTCAGCAGTTTTGTTTTCCTTTTCATCGTACTTTACCAAAAAACTGTTTTTCCCAATGCTTAGAAGCGAACTATCATCATTTTTCCAAATGGTAAGTGAGCGTAGTTTTTCTTCTAGCTCCTCTCTAAGAATGGCATTCCTTATATTACCTTCACTGCTAAATCCTATACCCGTGTAAGTCGTCATTTTTGTTCCGTTTCTCTTTAAAGCGTACTGCCTTGTTAAACTGGGCAATGAGTCGTTCTCGCTCTCTTCTGAATCTATGTGAGTCAGAACCATGAGATCGGTAACTGACTTTGATTTTTCTTTTACCTTCTCTGTAAATTCTCCTCTTTCAATTCGATGTCTCCAAGTCTCATCTTCTGTATCCGATCCAAACTCGTAACGTTCAAGACTTGTAGGCCCTAGTTTAAATTCAACAGAAGGCTTCTTTTGGCATTCCATACTCGAATCAGCAGATGAGGATGAGGTTTTCTCTAGAGCGAGCGTCTCATCTAAATTTTTAATCGCTTCTGAAATATTCTTGACAAACGTTCGATCCTCTTCGGTCTTTTGTTCAACACCCTGGAGCCAAGAGTCGAACTGTACATCTTCCAACGACCCTTTCAAGTTGGTCAGGCTTGGCGATTTCTTCTGGGACGTTTGAAATATATCTTCACTCGTTACCGACAGCTGCGGGGAGATGGTCATCGGCGTGCTCATCTTGCATGAATCCGGGTTCTCGTCTGAAGGCTTGATCTCCAAGTCGACTCCAGAGTCAAATTCCATCTTTGTCTGGAGTTTCGGCCTCTGTGCGAGCTCCGTGTGCCTCGGAGAGTGGATCGGTGTATGGTTGTCAACAATTGGAACCGTGTTCGGTTTCAACTTCCTCCAACGCGACTCAAAATCCGATTCCTGGAATGGATTCGTTTTTAAATACTGCAGCATTGAAATGACCTGCTCAGTCGTCGCTCGATTTTCCATCCTCCAGCATATCTGCATAATGCTATATCTGAAATTAAGTGGTTAACTGTTAGTTAAAAAAAGTTAATGTTTCAAATTTTAAAGATTCAAAATACTTACAAATACTGTCCAGAAAGGCAGTTGGGCTGAGGAAGGAGAAGCATCTCTTCTCCAAAAACTTTAGAAATTACTTCATCATCTGAAAGATCACTGTAAGGCAATTTGCCAAATTCAGCGATTTCCCAAAGGATTACTGCTAATGACCACACATTTGCATTTACGGTAACCTGATTAAAACAGAATGACTTTAAAAATGCACTCTTAATTTTCATAAAAATCTTATTTGAAAAAATTGCCTGTTTTGTTTCAATATGTGAAGAAGTAAACGAAATTGTTTCTGGAGCACACCATCTAATTGGCACAGCAATTCCTCCTGTATGGTAATATTCATTCTAAAAATAATATTTTAAAAAATGTTATTATTGTAACCAATATGATTAAAATTATTTGTCTAAATATTTTGATTTTTTTTACCTTATATAAATCTATACCTAATCCATAATCTCCTATTTTCACAGTGAGGTCAGGCGCTACAATGCAATTACGTGCTGCGAGATCCCTGTAATAATAAAACTCTTAGTACATGTTAAAAAAAAAAATAAAAAATAAATAAATAAAATAAAAAAAAATAAAATAAAAAACGTTTACTTACAAGTGAATGAAGCCATTTTTGTTCATAAAATTCACTCCTTCAGATACATCAGTCATTAACTTAAGGCAGATACCTTGTTTGAACAGCGCATCCTTGCTGTTGCTATTTACTAAAAGAAAATTTTTGAGATCCCTCTAAAAAAAAAATATTCATATATATATAAATTTTCAAAAAGTAACGAATATAATTTTTTAAAACCTCGAATGAGTGCTTTTACAGCTTACATTTTCATAAAGCTCAAATATCAAAAGATAAGGCTCTTGCTCGAGACACTTTCCAAAAAGTCTCGCTATGTTTTTGTGATGAAGGTCTCTGAAGGGTTTCGCCTCGTTGAGAAAGTGGGATTTTTCTTCCGGGTCTGAGCCGTCTTTCAGGATCCGGACGGCCACTTTCGTCCCTCGCACTTCACCTTCCATGACCTGCAATACGGTATTATACTGTTCTATATTATAAAAAATGTACCACCCACCTACCTTGCCGAACCAGCCAGATCCCATTTCTTTTTGGTAGAAGATCTGCTGCCGAGGAAAGTTGCCATTCTGATCAGCTATAAGCAAATAATTAATTTAGAAAAAACATTTAAGATGATATAATTTTTAAAAGCTTCTTTTGATAATTTTCTCTAATAACAATTCATTGATCATCAAAATCGGAAATTTTACTTCCCTCCCAGTTTATCAAACCAATTTATATAATTCTTGTTTAATCTTTAATTTAATTAATTAATTAAAATAAATTTTAAGACTTCTAAATATAACCAATGTTTGAATATCCAATCAATAATGAAATATTTTTAACCAATTTCTTTGTACAAAACGAAAAATAACAAAAAAAAATTATTAGATCCTTATCAATTTTAATCAGAGAGCTAATAAATAAATACACCAAACTGATTATTCGTTTTATAGAAATATCAACATTAAAAGAATAGGTTTTTTTTTTTTTTTTCCTCCCCCTTTTAAATGGGCCTTATGAACTTGCAGATTGGACAAAGCATGTCAGGGTAAAAGAAAAAAAGACCAGGGGCGACAGTGGGAATGGAACTCATGACCGCGGGGTCTACAAGCCAAGAGTCTATCCCTCTGACCACTCGGCTACTGCGGCCTCTGTCATTGTCTTAGACGGAAATGAAAAACTTACACCGGTGAGTCGTAGCAGATGCGACATAATATTTTAAAAACCCATGCTGAAAAGAAGAGCAGAATACAGTCAAATCATGGGCAATGAAGGAAATGGGAAGAAAAGAAAAAATCATATCAACTCGCCTGCGATAGGCCACATCAGGCTGACATAAAGGCATCTTACTAAAAAAAGATCACAGAGATGCCTTTTATGTGATGCATAAGTATCTGAACCACACATATTAACAGAGTGCAAGGAATTAGCATGGCAAAGAATAAAACGGGGTACACACCCGACGCAACGCTACCCGACGTGACCCGAAGCCACCCAACGCAAATCCAATATCCAATTTTCCATAAAATTTTATTACGCCCCGTGCACATCTGCCCAATGTCACACAACGCTACCCTAACTCTACGCTAAGCGATGCAACCAAGTTCCCTACTGTCCAGATTTTTGTCAGGTAGCGTCGAGTACAGTCGACGACAAAACAACCGGGCACTCATATTTTTATTTCAAACTATATGTATTATTGTCGTTATATTAATTACAATATACTTTTTTTAATATAAACCAAATTAAGTGAGATCAAAAATTCATGTTTTTTTTTGTTTTTTTTATTAATTTTAATGGTTTGGCAGAAAATTGATCAAACACCAGAATACCATTTATTGATAGAATGAATTTAACTAACATTTATTACATGGTTTTGCTCATAAAATTTAATTAACAGTTATTCAGATATCGTGAGATGCGGTCGGGTGTGATGTAGGTTTCAGAAAAACATTTTCTTTAACGTGCCAACGTTTCAATCTTTTATTGAGATCATCTTCAGGGCCTGGGATTTACAAACAATGTTTACATTTAATAAATACATTTAGGATATGGAAAAGTGAATTTATAGTTATAGTGAATTGGCACAATAAAGAAAATGTAATAGCTACAAATACAACCGTTGATGATTTTTCAGTGAATCTATGACCCTAATGACAGTTTGACAAAGACATGGACCAACTATTTCATTTGGCTTGAAGGCTGTTCAAACATGCATCTTTTTTTTTTTTTTTTTTTTTTTTTAATTTTTAAACAACAGCAGTTTGAACAGGACAGAAACAATAGCACATTGATTTGATTTTCGTTGAACATCATTTTGTAAGTTATAGTTAAATATGCAAATAACACAAGCTGCTGAATAAATAATTTAAAATAGGTTATTCAATCAAGGAAATTTTTTTTTCTATTTAAATAATCTTTTATGAAATTGTTTTACATAATGTTGCAAATCTATGACCCTGTTGAATCATCATAGCTTGTAATGCTGCTGGAAAGGCTGTTTCGCTTGAAAGGTGCTCGTGCAACCATCCTTAAAAGCAGTCTTCTATTTTATTGATTGCAGTTTAAAAAATAAAAATGTTTTACTATTTCAATTCAATAACGCTAATTTGAAAATCGTTAAAACTAGCTGTATTATATTCAAGTTTGAATCTTCTTGACATTAAAAATTCAATTTGCTTGAGAAACTGGAAATGAGCCAAATTTGCAAATAGATGAATTGAGGGGGCGAAGGAGAAACAAAAGGCAGATGGCTAATCATCGTGAAGGAGCCAATTTAGAAGTTCAACCCTTGACCTATCAATATAAAGCCTTAACAGCTGTTCATAATGACCATTTCTTTTTAACAGTCCATTTGTCAAGAACACCAATTTTCTATTTGAAAGCGTTAGTTTGCCAAAGATAAGTCATTATCACGTCATCCGAAAGGGCCTTCCTTTGAGATAAGATAGTCACATCAAACCGCAAGAATTAAATATATCCCAGCTGGTAAAAAACATGTTAATACTTACTGAACCAATCTGATATGTTTGCCGATGCATTGGAATATCCAGGTGGTTTTGAAGTTGGTTCACTGTTCACCGGCGGCACCAGTGCGAGTTCCTGCCTCTGCACTGATGCACCCAGAGGTGGAAAAACCGTGACCTCCGTAGCCAAGGCATTCGTAAAGCCAATATTGTTTGACGACCGTGGGTTGTTGAATTCCTTTAAAAATGAAAAAAAAGTTTTTAAAATTGCCATTTTTTAATATTTAATCTATGCATTACAATGAAATTGCATGCAACTTATGAAAACTTTTTTTTAAAATTAATTACTGTTCTCAATAGTATTGCGCAAAACCTGCACATATAGCCTTGATACCTGAGGTGAGTCAACAACGTAAAAATGACCAAAACAAGGATCACACCTAGCCTTCCTTGACCATGCAATTTACTCAAAGAGAATAAAACTATAAGTACTAACATTACAAGCCTTCAATTACTATTTTTTCCCAAATTTCATGCCTAGTTTTTCTTACCTGTTGAATTGTTTCTTCCTGTTTTGACTTAAAAAAATAAGAATAGAAAAAATCTATTATTTTCAATCAAAATTTTCACAATTATTACTGGATTATTTTAAGTGACTCATTTATAGTAAAAAATTCTTATCTTCAAACATTTAAATTTTATTAGCCTTCATAATTAATTTAAAATGGATATGACCTCTGAAGACAAAAAGTAGTTGTAATGTTTTCTTTTATATAACAATTCTTATTCCGAAAAGAGAATAAAAGGCTCCTTTACAAGGCCATTGAAAGTGAAAAGACTCAGAGGATGTATTTAATGTGATCAGCCCTCGCCAAACAACACTCTTTTCATTTCATTCAAAAATAGTTTTGCAAATAGAGTTCTACTTTTTTTTTTTTTTTTATTCCCTCCCAAGCATTCTAAGTTCAACTAACAGTATTATCCCAAGCTGGGAAAAAGTGTAACAACTCCCCACTACTGCGACCATTTTCATACATAAGAAGGAACCACACATCACGGATTAAAAAGTAGGGTTTCAGGCTTACGAGGGGGAAAAAAATCTGTCATCGATTCGTTGTACAAAAGTTCATAGGGTTAATGCCCTGCTTTTCTTTCCACCTCGAAAAGAATGAGTTATCTTCTGGCACTTGTCCAGAATATTTCAACCCTAGCATAGAGAAAGAGCAAAAATAGGAGGAAGTAAGATAATAAAATATAATAGTTCAAAAAATTAAATAAATAATCTGCAAAAAAAGAAAGAAGTCTTTGATAATAAAGCAAATAAAGCAAATTAAAACAAAAATTCATAATTTTTAAAAGTACCAAGGACATTGAAAACCCAAGCCTTTTATAGTTAAAAGAAAAATCAACTTTTTAAAAACATTGGACGTCAAAATTTAACTAAATTTACTTTATTTTTTATCAAGTAAATTAAAACATACTAATTTTAACATTAAAATATTTTTGATTAAACTTGTTCACCCTTTTTAAATAGATGCTGCATTAAAACATAATTATTGAATTATTTCCAATTTTATTGTTTAAAGTTTAAAAACATGTAAATACAAATAGACAATTTTTTGCAAAAATCAAGCATATTTAAAGGCCACTTTTCCTACAATTACCATACCTTGATATAAATTAAACTCGAATAGATATGGCTTAGGACAGAGAAAAAGTAATAGAAAATAAAAGTTAAAAAAAAAAATAATCTGAAGAAATAAACAGAAAGACTTCTTAGGTAATAAGGTAAATATAGTAAATTAATTTAATAACAAAAGTTCATGGTTTTTAAAAGTACAAGGACATTGAAAACCCAAGTCTTTTATAGTTAAAATAAAAATCAACTTTCTAAAAACATTGAACTTCAAAATTTAACTAAATTTACTTCACTTTGGCCTTTTTATCAAATAATTGTAAAACACAAGAATAATTTTATCTTATCTTTGGTCGACCTTTTTGAATAGACTGCTATGCTAAAATATAATTACTGATTGAATTGTTTCCAATTTTATTGTTTAAAGTTTATAAACCTTTAAATATACATTGATAATTCTTCCCTGCATAAATCAAGCGTATTTAAGGACTTGTCCATCTTCATTACAATGACCAAACCTTGATATTAAATTATTCTCAGATTTTCCTTTTAGAACATTTTCAATTTTTATTTTACCTTTTTTAATCTTCTACAATAATAAAAAAATTAATAATGTAATGCCAATCGACGGACTGGGAAAATCTCAACATGTGAATGTGTAGAGAGTAGATGTGGATTGTGATAGCAGGCCAAATTTGGTAGGAACAAGTATGAAAAATTCAAGTAAGCCAGCACCCAATCAACGTTAGAACCCTTCATCACAGACATGGTGAAAGACAATATTTTGAGGATTTTTTTACCAACAAAACATGACAAAAAGTTTATGCAGTATACTTTGTGATTTGTAATTAATAAAAAAAAATTTATTTAAAGAGTTCAATAAGTGTAATTTGTACTAATAAATTTTTGAAAAACTACAGTAATTTCATTTTGATAACATCCTTGAACAAATTCATAAAAGAGAGAATAAAAGCAATATTACATAATAATCTCTTTACGAAGAAAACAAACAATAAGTAATTATAATCCTTGTTTTGTAGTTGGCCATGGGGCAAGAATGGCAAAAAGTCAGTGGTCTCTTTTCTCTGCCCGATGTCTACAGGAGAAGGGGAGCTGTCCAGTTATTTCATCCCGGTAATTGCCCATGGTGGCCCAACCTCTTCCTTTTTTTTTCCACATTGTACAACCCGTCCTTATGTGGCACTGACAAGCGATAAGCGTGAATGAAAAAGACGGTTTATAAAACTGCATATCGATTTTGCATACAGGACAAGGACTCGGTTTGGCAAGGGTGTTGTTATCCCTATGACAATTTACAATAAAATGGGCAATTTATTTATTTTTCAATTGGGCTAACAATGTGGTCCCAAATTGGCAAATCCTTCATAATGAAAAGGATAAATACAAAATTACCTGCAGAGAAAATTTCCTCTTGTTGACTTTTTCCTTGTGGTAGTAATAAATTTTAACAAATTTTCATAAAACGTGACATAACGTATTTACTACTTCTAATTGTTTTAATTGTTTAAATTTTAATATATTTTAAAAGGTTCAAAATATATATACTAATAATAATACTAGAAGATTTTGTTTTTAAATTTTGTACTTCTATTATTTGGAAAAATACTTGCCTAATTAAAAGACTAATGCTACAAATAGTGAAATATAAAAATATTTTTTTTTAAACCTGTAATATTATTAACTGAATTTTATAATAATTAAACAAGTAATTGTAAATTACCTTAAATCCGTCACGTCGCTTTTTGCAACAGAGGCACAGCGCCACGGAGACAACCCCCGTTAGTAAGAATGCGGCAGCAAGGGCGAGATTCACCGTTGGCACATCTGAAAATCAAAATGACACAGATGGGTTAGCGTGGTCTGTCTAACCACAGATAAAGAAGGAAATTAGAAACCACCAGCTGCGACTCAGCTGCCGGCTGTGGAAGGGAACCCAAGGTGCTATCGAACTTTGTCAGTTCTTTTTATTCAAATCTGGACCAGCTTTCCAAGACGACGGTCAGAGCCCAGGCTGGCTTGCATTGTGAGCCTAATGCGGAACATTACTGTGAAGAAAGCTGTGGTGCAATGAACCAAACAGGGCTGAAATCTTTGTGAAACATGACACAAAAACATTTTTTTGAAGGGGAATTTTTTTCGAGCTTGAAACAGTAAAACCAGTTTAAATTAAAGAATATAAATAGTCAAATTCAATAATTTTGTGGTCCGCTTGACCAATTAATATATTACAATTAATTAAGGTTTTTAATTGAGATAAAAAAGTCAATGGCACGAGCGGGATTCGAACCCACGATCTTCAGCTGCTCTACTACTTGAGCTATCGTGAACTCGATCCATTCGGACACTAACTTCCCATCTCAACCCCAATTTCACTTTTTATCTCAACTAAAAACCTTAATTAATTGTAATATAAATAGTATTTATTGTCAGCTTAACCTTAAATTACAACTTTTTATTTAATCGAGACCACGAGGATAAAAAGGGTGTATTTTAATGTGGTTTCTTTTTTTCAGATTAATATGGGTACGACTATGATAATGATAATAAAAGTGATAACACCCATTTTAATTATCATATTTTCCAGAATACATGAACAACAATTTCGTATGTTATTTAGTATTATTTGGAGATCGTGAGGTGTGGTCTGGTGTGACGTAGGTTTTAGAAAAACATTTTCTTTATCCTGCCAACATTTCGATCTTTATTGAGATCATCTTCAGGGCCTGGGATTTATAAACATTGCTTAAATTTTACAAATACATGTAGGATGTGAAAAAAAAAATGAATTATACAATTCTATAAAATTTTAGATTAAAAAAATGAATTTATACAATGCTAGAAAATTTTAGATTAAAAAAAATGAATTTATACAATGCTAGAAAACTAGATTAAAAAAATGAATTTATACAATGCTAGAAAATTTTAGATTAAAAAAAATGAATCTATACAATGCTAGAGAAAAAAAAAACACCAGATCGCACCTCATAATCTCCAAATAATCATTGGTTACTGGTCATTACTATTTTAATTTTTTTTTTTTGCTAACAACAAAAAGTAAAATGTATTGCAAGAGGGCTTTATGTCCAATTCCCGTGGACGATAGGTCCAGCCGCTTCACAATACCTTTTACATATTACAAACAATTAAAATTCCTCGAGCTATGCCAGAATTCAAGCCCAGAACCGCTTGCATGTAAATATGAGTCAGACGCCCTAACCACTTTGCCACTGTGGCCCCCTGCTAATAATTAAAAACCAACAAATTTTATTGGTTTGTCTGTCAGGTGGGTTTTTGCACTGGTCCTAGTGTTAAGTGGCACCTTGCACATCGATTTTTTTTAAATACACAATATGCATTTCTTGAAATTGTTTTAAGTAAGTTAAGTTAAATTATGTTTATGGGTGTCATTCACATAAATATACTGCTTTAATGTTATAGGCAGACAAAACAGTCCTTAGAAAGCTAGTGCCAATTTATTTATTATAAACGGCTAAAAATAAACTATCAAAATGTCAATGCAATGGAAGGTGACATGAAATATTAGTGCCAATAATAACAGAGAAAATGTTAAAACTTTTTTTTTTTTTCATCGAGGAAATTGTTATTTTTAGACTTTAAAACTGAGACATAAACAAACTTAAAAATGAAAACGAAAGTCCATCCGATTACGGAAATGATATAAAGCATGTAAATAAGCTTATCATTATGCATCATCATTTCACACTTGGACAACCGCAAGACAAACAGCCGTTGGCCTATCGTGATCGCCGTATTATAATTGGCGACGAGACAACTGAATTATTTTCACCATCCCGAACTAGCTTACACCTGGGGACAATTAATTAATTGCGAACACTTCCTGAAATAAAGTACCTTCAAAGCTGAACTAATTGAATTAATTGAGGGGGCTAACTAGACCAAGCAAGGGGTCAAGAAAGTCAGATTTTTGATCAAAGGGAATTTAATTTAAAACAAAAAAACTATCTTTAATACAAAGCACATTCGTCAGGCTGATTTGTGGGATTTTTTTATCAAAAAATCTTCCTAGGGGAATAAAAATATTGACTCAATCTATTGCAAAGCAACTTTTTTTGTAAAATCCCTTAACAATATGTTATCAACTTGGCTTCTTATGCAAAATGTTGTTTGGGAAACTCCCATGGTTCTTTCAATTCTCCCAATAATAATCATATTAAGCAACTTCATTAATTAGAAAGAAATTATGCAATTTTTAAATAGAAGAGTGGCATAGATTACATATTTAACATTAATTCATACGTACAGTTATTTTTTTTTATATACATACATTTTCCAACTATAAAAATCCTATTTTAGTGCAAAATAACGTTTCTAGTGTCAGATGTCATTAATTCCCCTGTGATTAATACCAGATAAATTTTTAACAGTCAGTCTTTGCTTTTTTCTTAAATTTAACTCTTTAACTTTTAAGCATGGGATTTTTGTAGTCTTTTTAAAATTAATTTTCTTATGAAAGTAAGCCATCCTGTTGGTTGGAGTATTGTGGCTCCACAAAATTGTAGCTGAATTTTGGGGAGCCAAAATACTCCAACCAACAGGATGGCTTACCTTCATAAGAAAAATAAGAAAATTAATTTTTAAAAAATTGAATGTGTTATATTAAAAAAGAATCCATGAAATGCCAAAAAAGCATAGCAAGATTAATGCCAAATAGTAATTTTGTACAAATGACAATTATAATAATGGCTTTTTAGAGAAAGAAATTTTTTTGACTTCACACGATAGGAAAATTGCACTTTTACTTTTTCAATATGAAATTTAAAGGAATATTTCAACTTGTCCTCTTTCTGGCTATTTAAAACCATATATGTATTTAGAAGTCATATTGTATTAATAATACATTTTATTTAAGCTGTTGATTGATATGAGAAAGCTACTTATTATGGCTTTTAAAAATTTTGATTTATTATTTTTTATGCAAATTTTGCATCTAGCCAGAAGTAGACTTAATCAAATCTAGAAGTCACAATAGTTGAAGTGGTTTGAGGAGTGAGCCAAAGGTTCGAATCCCACTCGTGACACTACCTTTTTCATCTCAACCAAGACCTAATTAAAAAGTATATTTAATACGTTTTGACAAAAATTGAACAATGGGAATTATACATTCGAGACCTCCTGTGAAAGAGTCCTTTTCCTTTTTATGTCCTTCGATCCTTGAGACACCAGATGAGAGCAAAGGGAAAAAGATCGCTCTGCTCTATTTGAAAATTTAATAGGCACCCCTGTAGGACTTGATAAAAAATGTATAGAAGCTACAGTCCTAGATCGAATTATAAACATCTTCAACCCCCCTTTTCCTTGGCATTTACTGTATTGAACCCTGAATTATTAATATCGCACACCCATGGCAAAAATGAAAACTAAAACATGTATGAAACAACACATAGATCAAGGATGAGAAAACCCACCCACCTTGAAGTGAGAGTGTTCTTAATTGCAGAAAGTAATTGAATGAACACGTCAAGGAGCATGAAGATGATAGCAAGAAATATTAAATTTCTCTTATGTGTAACAAAAGAAAATATATTTTGTATATTTATAGCTCTATATAACTTTCTTCTGTCCTTCTTATTCACACACACACACATAGACACATAATCACCTCCTTCTCTCTTTTTCTGCTTATCTTTCTCCNTTTTTTTTTTTTTTTTAAATTTAAATACAGATGAGAATGTAACATGAGCAAATCGTTCTGATTAATAATTGGTACTATATTTATTGGATGTGGACCAAATGTTGATGTTGGCAAAGCAGGAATGAACCGATGCTTATTTTATGTTTATGCCAAATTTCCGTCTAAATAGAATGAAGCCAGCCTTGGGATGAATTCTTGACCCACAATTTGATTTCATAAGCAACCTGATTTAATTCCAACAAAACTAATGGAAATTTTCAAACTAGCCACTATAAATGTTTAAACATTTCTTCTAACATGAAGGATTTAAGGAAAATCACGCTTTTGCTTTGAACAAACAGAAACAACAGCAGAAACGCTTTGATTCGTTAAATTTAACAAATCAATAAGACCAAATTTGTGCAATTTTTAATGCTGTTGATATATCCAACATTGTCTAAAGATAAATAAATAATACAAAATTAACAATTCCAAAATAGTGACGTTAGTACTTTACATACAAGATAAGATTTCATTAGTATTCCTTAGTCTATTTCTAAAAAAGGACAAACAAATAAAATATTAATACAAATATGAAAAATATAATACATTTTGAAAATAAACCGTTGAAATAAAAGGAAAACTTTATGACAGGAGTCTGGAAACTTGGATCGCAGCCAGTCATATCGTAAATGGCCTTATCCGTATATTTTGCTCTTAAAGAATACATTAATCCTTTTTACACGCCTCTTGCAAAGATATGTAAATTAGGTGGTAATGCTAAATCCATGTGTTTGTCCAATCCAGACCAACTTGTTGATTTTCCAGACAAGAATTAATTTTTACTTTTTTTTTTCTTTAAGCAAACCAAATTTCCTAAACATTTTCACTCAATAGTTAAACCGTGTAGTATAAAAATCTCATTATTGTCAAGGAAGAAAATTATCAGAATTTGTTTCTTCAAAAAGCCAACATTGCTTAAAATATATTTGCTTAAGCCTAATTCAATCCGGCCTAAACTCCTTTTACAAAAGTTTTTAAAGCTTCATAAGGCTCAGTGTTCTTGATTCCTCGGGGGGGGGGGGGATTTATTTCTAATTATTTTATCTACAAACTGTAGATATAACTGTTCCTGAACTACTTTTGACTCAGCGAACTTGACTATTAATAT